CCCACCCTGGCTCACCGCTCGACTCACGTACGCCCCTTCCCGTCAGTGTGACAAGCTGGCAACTGACGGCATGACGGCACGGCCGAGCAGCAGTGAGAGAAGTCCACGGCGAGCCTCATTGACTCATTGATTCACCGCGCTGCTGCCACCGTGACGCGGGCTGGCTTCTTGTTTTATCCGCCCTCTCCCCTCCCTTCCTCTCACCTCTCCCTCCTCTCCCCTCCCCTCATAGACTCATCCATGGTCATAGCATCTACCTACCAGCCAGCCATATCGCGCTTCGCGTCTCTCCAGCTCAGCATGTCGCTCCCAATTAATGCATTATAAAACGGACCCGGCTCTGCATCCCATGTCAAAGTTTTCACGCTGGTCAGAGTCAGAGCAGCATGTGGCATTGTGGTTGCTCCAGGAATGTCCAGGACTATGACCCGACTCTCGCACAGTTTGAATCAAACATTTAACAACCCTCTTTCTTTCTACGGCCGTTGGACTATCGACAGGCGAGCGGCTTTCTTCCCATCCTGCTCCCAAGGTAAGATTATTCCCTTAGTGTGAATCTTATTGATTTCCGTCAGGAACGTAGACCCTGAAACAATTCCGTAATTGTGCTTCTCTCTTTGAAATTTCCCAGAAGAATTGGGTTTTGTTTTTGTTTTTTAATTGTTTCGGGTTTCAGTAAGCAAAAGTCGGGAATGGAACTCTTTAAACTCTTTTCAAAAGTCTGTTACTTAAAAAAAACAATTTTATCGAACATCTTTGACCGAAAAAAACAAGAGCAACGAAACAAACAAACAAACTAAAAAAAAGGAAACGCCAAGAAGAACAAACAAAACCAAAAACAGAAGAAAAATAACCAATGACAAACACAAACAAACAATGGTCGAATAAAGAATAACTAGAATCTAGCAGGCCAATATAATAATATTCATGGGGGGAAAAAAGAAACAGAGAAGATAGGAAAGAGACAAAGAGCAAGATGGTGGAAAGAGACAGAGAGAAAGAAGAAGAAAGAAGTAAAACGAGAAATAGAAAGAAAAAGCAAGGGGGGAAAAAGAGATAAAAGGAAAGAAGAAGAAAGACAGAACTATCAATAACTGTATCTGTATGTATGTGTGTATTTGTATCGGATCTGTGCCTGTATATAT